GGCCACTGCACTCCAGTCTGGGCGACAGAGTGAGACTCCAACTCAAAAAAAAATAAAAATAAAAATAAAGATGCATCTTTTGAAGTGATAGCAAGATACTAGTTTTAATTTATTAGTTTATTTTTGGTTAACTAGCTACCATTAAACTTTAAAAATAACAGAATGTAGCCCACAAAAGTAACATATTCCTGAAAATAGTGAGCTGTCTTCCTTGTGTCCCACTGCTGACCAGCAAGAGGTTTTTAACTATTCCTTCTATGATGCCCAAAACTTTAAATATCTCAGCGAGTTGTTGTGTTTTGGTTTTAATTGGTATTTACAAGTTCCTGGGTATTGAAGGCACATTTCTTTTTAAAAAGTTATTTTTTAGATCTCATAGCCGAATTGTGAAATGCTTGGTGTGTTACAGTCTAAGCCTACTGTATCCATACAAGGGAGGACTATTCAGTAATAAAAACAAAAGAACTATTGATACAAACAGCAAGGATGAGACCCAGAAATGTTATGAAAATGAAAGTACTCAGACACACAGGAGTGCAAACTGCTTGTGTCCTTTTATTTTATGATGGTTAGTCAGTTAGTGTCAACTTGACTGAGGTAGAGTACCCAGTTATTTCATCAAAACGAACCCAAGTGTGGCTATGAGGGTGCTTCGTGAATGTGGTTAACATTTACAATCAGTTGACTTGGAGTAAGGAGTTTGTTTACCTTTGATATTGTGGTTGACCCTCATCTAACCCGTTGAAGGCCTTAAGGACAAACACTGAGATTTCTCAGAGAAGAAATTTTGGTTCAAGGCTGTAACATCAACTCTTGCTTGAGTTTTATTGTTTTGTTTTGTTTTCAGTTGGACTCTCACTCTCACCCAGACTGGAGTGCAGTGGCCGCTCCCAGCCACCGCAGCCTCGACCTGCTGGGCTCCGGCAATCCTCCTGCCTCAGCCTTCCAAGTGACTGGAACTACAGGCACAGGCTACCGCGCCTGGCTGATTTTCTATTTATTGTAGAGACAAGGTCTTGCCAAGTTGCCCAGGCGGGTCTCGAACCCGCGGGCTCAGGCAGTCCACTCACCTCAGCCTCCCAAAGGCGCAGGATTACAGGCTGAGCCACTGAGCCCGGCTTGTCTTTGACTTTTCAGTGCCCTGCTGCCTTCTACTGCTAGAGCCTGGCAAGGCCTGAGACTTCACCGACCGTTTTTCTTTTCTCCTGCCAAAATGGCTTGGATCTTGGTCTTTTTCTCAAATGCCGAAGGAAGGGAAGAAGGGAAGGAACAGAAAAAATGCCAGGAAGGCAGAAAGAGAGGGATGAGGAAAAGCTATGACTAGACTTGCTTTGAGAATTTGGAAGGAAACTCCCACAGTGCACCTGCTCCTGTCTCCTGGGCTTTTCTTCTCAGACACTGGGCCTTTGCCTGTCCCCCCTGCCTGCTCCATTCCCTTTCCTAAAAAATGTCTCTCCATGCTGAATTGAGGATGGTAGAGAATACTAGGGTTACAGGCCTAAGAGAGATGCGTGTGGGGGGGGGCAGCAAAACAATGGCCTCCAAATGTCCATGCCCTAGTCCCCAGAACCTGTGTCTGTGTCACACTGAATGGCAAAAGGGACGTTGCAGATGGGGTTCAGGTTCATACGACATAGTCTGTAACATAATCTGGTTATTCTGGATTGTGCCAGTGGGCCCAGTCTAATCACACGAGCATTTAAAAGCAGATAACTTTCTCTAGCTGGAGTCAGAGACTTGCTGCCGGAGGGAAAGTCCGAGAAACTCTCAGAGGGAGGTGACCTGCAGGTGCTGAAGCAGGCCAAGGGAAAGGCGCGAGAAGGAACACGGGGAGCCTTGAGCAGTGAAGGCCAGCTCCTGGCTGACAGCTGGCAAGGACCTGGGACCTTCCCAAAAAGAACTGAATTCAGACAACTTTAAAGAGCTTAGATGTAAACTCATTCCAAGGGCCTCCAGAAAGGAGCACAGCCTTGCTGACACCTTGATTTTAGCCTCCTGTGACTAAGCAGGGGACCAAGTAAGGACACTGCCTAGACTTCCACCTACAGAACTGTGACATTGCAATAGATGTCATAAGCTGTTAGGATCATGGTGATTTGTCTTGGCAGTGAAAGAAAAACACAATGTACATGTTCAGAAATATATGCACTTTCATGTACTCATTCATCTAGTCACTGAGTCTAGACATTTTGTTTAATTATCGTCTCAGAATGACTTGCTGAAGCTGTAGCCATGTATGGGCATCTGACTACTCATTGGTGCTATATTTATTCAGTAGAGATTCTGCACCTTCTGAGAGCGGGCAGATGCTGGTAGGAAGAAGGGTCAACCTGTGCTCTCAGCAGTGCATGGCCACTCCCCAAGTCTAAAATAGCACTGGGCATTTCACATGCATATCATTTAATGCTCACCAAGCCCTATAAGCTAAGTGCCATCATCTTGTTTTCTGGATGATGAAATTGAGACTTACCGAGATTAAACAACTTGCTCCGAACTTCACAGTCACCAAGAATCTAAGCCCAAATTTAGCTAAGTTGTAGCCAGGCACAGTTGCTCATGCCTGTAATTCCAACACTGGGAGGCTGAAGCTGGAGGATTACTTGAGCCCAGGAGTTTGAGACCAGCTTGGGCAACATAGTGAGACCTCGTCTCTACAATAAATAAAAAAACTGGCTGAGTGTGGTGGCACGTGCCTGTAGTGTCAGCTCTTAGGAGGCTGAGGCAGAAGGATCCTGTGAGCTGTGAACGTGCCATTGCACTCCAGCCTGGGTAACAGAGCAAGACCCCGACTCAAAAAAGAAAATAAGTTCTAACCTTAATGCTGGATCTTTACACTTGAATGTAGATATTATAAAACACGAAGCGATGTGGGAGACTATGCCCAGACCTCACCTCTGTGGTGTGGGTGGGCCGCAGGGAGAACCTCAGCACCAGCTCTGCCTAGCCAGAAATGCGCCCCCATAACGAGCTGAGAACTGGACCAGCTGGTCATCCCTTCCTGGGCAGGGTGTGTGGGACAAGACAGCCACGGCGAAGGGATTTCCACTTAGCTGCTGTAACTGGTTCCCATCTTGAGCTTCAGGAAAAACTCAGCAGACCCCGTTCCATGGCTGGAGCAACTGCTTCTGACACACTTCAGCAGATTGATGGGCTTCAGCAGGCTGGCCACAGGAGACAGTGTCGTAGCTTTCTCAGTATTTCCATCCCAGTAGTTCTGTCCCTTTCAAGGATTCTCGGTGTTACTCTTTACACCCGTGGCTGCCTGGGGGCTGATCTCTCGCCTCTGCTCCCAGCCCTCGGATTCCTCCCAGGTACCCTCAGAGCAGTGTCCACCAAGCCCTTCTTCCCTCTGGTTTCCACCTTCCCTCCGAGCCCAGCCCACTTGGAAGCATTCCCACTTCCCCAAATCGTAATACCCTCTTCCTTCATGAACAAGTATAAACCCAGAATCCCCACCAGCATGGTCCTGGAAGCTTACTGTCAA